AGCAGTCTATGAAGACCTGCAGCCTGTGGAAAGGACCCACGTTGGAGAAGTTCGTGGAGGACTGTCTCCCATGGGAGGGACCCCATGCTAGGGCAAGGGAAGAGTGTGAGGAGGAAGGAGCGGCAGAGACAATGTGTGATGAACTGACCGCAACCCCTATTCCCCGTCCCCCTGCGCTGCTCGGGGGGAAGAGGTAGAGAAAATCAGGAGTGAAGTTGAGCCCGGGAAGAAGGGAGGGGTGGGGGGAAGGTGTTTTTAGATTTGGTTTTATTTCTTATTACCCTACTCTGTCTTTGATTGGTAGTAAATTAAATTAATTTCCCTGAGTCGAGTCTCTTTTGCCTGTGACACTAGTTGCTGAGTGATCTCCCCGTCCTTATCTTGACCCACGAGCCTTTTGTCATATTTTTCTTCCTCTTTCCAGTTGAGGAGGGGAGTGATAGAGCAGCTTGGTGGGCACCTGATGTCCAGCCAGGGTCAACCCACCACACTACTGCTTTGATTAAGCAGTACACATAAGAGGGGAAAATAAAACACTTAACTGATGGTGAAATTTTCTGAACTGCGTATTTGAGAATATACATGGCCACCAACTAAATCTTCTAGTTTTTATTCTGATAATAGTGGGATGGAAGAATTAATATAAGTAATGGAGTCTATTCCTATTAATCTTTGAGATGTATCTTAAAAATGCTAACTAATATCATCAGATACTCACAGATTCCACCCCACGTCCTCGGTGTTCAGATAGAGAATACCAGCTCTGGATACTGTAGCTGGGGTAGCAGCTCTTAAATGGCGTACCTCAAATAGCAGCCACATTGACAAAGTCATAGGCACACGTTCATTGCTTGTAAGGGTCAGAACCTAGAAATCATCAGTAAATTTTTCAGCAAAAGCAAGCTAAGATACACTGTCTAACAAGAACCTGATCAGGGCAATCATGTTTATTATAGCCCCACAAAGGAGCAAGGATTATCTGCAACACCATGCACATACACTATTTCTTGAAGGTAGATAAACAAACTTCATTCAAACGTGGCTATAGTTTTTTTACTTCAGAAACAGAGGAGGACAAATTCAAAAGGTTTTACTTGATCTTGTATGAGTTTTTCACAGTTTAATTCATTCAAAAGATGACTAGCCTGCTTCACCAATATGAGTACTCCTGAAAGCTGCTAAAAGCAGGGGAGGCAAAGTCTCTCTCAACGTCAATGAAAATAAACAGAAAATTATTCAGAGCAGGAGCCTAAACTTAGGTGCTCCGAAATGTCCCTTGGAAAAGCCACTTTCTGTTCAGCAGCTAAAGTTAGGCTATGTGGCTAGCCCCAGACAGACACCTTGCTGAGTAACCAGAGACCATGTCACTAGATAGGTTTAAGTTCTTAACACAGGAAAGCTTAAAAGAATGGGCTAAACTACAATCACCTTCCTAAGGTTACATTCAGATTTTAGATTTGGATTTCATTACATTACAGCATTTCAGACAGCCAGCAAAATTGGTTTAGCTGTATAATTAATAAGGGAATTAGAAGTCTAGATACTACTGCTAGTTCTTAAACTGACTTATTTAGATTTCCTAACACTAGCCTTCCTTAGTACAGTCATGCAAGGACTTCACTCATGGAATCTTAAATCTATTTTACTGAGAGGCTTTCCAAATACCAGTTTCAATAATCTTATGATTGACATCTTGAATTACATCAACTCATACACTAGGAGGCACAATCACCCTTACAGTATATGTAAGCTACTTTAAGTCTTTTTGTTGTACAAAATAGACAAGACATAATGTGTTAATCAGATGATAAAATATTACTTAGCAATAGTGAAAACCAAAGAAATAAGAATGGGGGGAAAAAAAAAAAAAAAAAAAAAAAAAAAAAAAAAAAAAAAAAAAAAAAAAAAAAAAAAAAAAAAAAAAAAAAAAAAAAAAGAATGCACACTGCAAAACTATACACTGCAAAACTATCTCCAGAAAAATAAAGGAAGAGGAAAATGTGAAAACAGGTAGAGGGGAAGCCACTGTGCTTGCTTCTCAATTACTCACCTTGTTAGCATCCATAACAGTGTTGAGCGACTCAATCCACATAGGATCTATATCCCCACCTAAAACTAACCATTTTGGCCCCTCATGGGTAATATTAGCTTGCTCTTTCAGAGGAGATGACAGGAGACCTGCAAATTATATTTCAATAGAACCCCATCACTTTAGTGCTTAAATAACTACACTGCACTGCAATTAAAACTTTAGAAGACTTAATGCATCACTGAAACAAGAAGCTTTTGTAGCATCAAAACCATGCTTTTTTCCTTTGCTTGCTTATTAGGTGATTATTCAAAGTAAAATAAAACAGTATTTTCAGTGAACACTTGATACAGCAAAATGACTGCATTTTATGTAATAATGACCTATTTCCATTTTGATTACAGGAGAGTATGTCATTAGTCTTAATGATATGGGTGAGATACGGGAGGTTTCATGGGTCTGGGGAGAAAATAATTTGCCCTTTAAGGCAGCTGAATTAGCATCGTTCAGGCTAGTACTTTTCTGTCTACTAGGATCCTGCCCTGCCTCCAGTCTTTCCACAACCACCAGTGCCCTGCACCCACATCGCATTGAATCAAAACACAGAAAAATGCAAGAATTTGGTCTCTAACACCTCTGAATTCTGGCATTGTCCATTTCTGATGGAGAACCACACCTCCAGAAACAGGTCCTAGTAAGAACAGGTGTGCTGCTCGCCATCTTTCCATTCTCAGGTTGCACGGTGTATAAAACCAAACAGTTCATCAGCTGTCAGAATTTTGGGGTGAAGGTGATTCCAAACAGGCTTTTGTTTCATGTTCACGTACGTGTGACGCAGAACTTTCAGCACCTGAAGAGGAGGAACAGGCTGCACGTTAGTGACACGATTTTGATACAATAGGAATCTTTGACTTTCTTCCTGAACCCAGTCTCTAACTGCAAATCCCTGCAGTCAAGCAGCTGTTCACCTTGATTTACTCACACCTCTGTGCTAGTTTAGTCCCAAATTTCCATTAAGCCTAAGGATAGGAAAGGAAACTCCCATTCTGAAACAGCTGTACTCTGCAGTCGATTCTAACAGAGAGTGTTAAATGGGGAAAAAAATCCACGCAGCTGCCAACATTTAGTAGCAGAAATGGGCAAGCATTATCTATTAGAAGTATTTGTCTAGAGTTTTGGCAATATATTCCGCTATTTCTGTCTAGAAGGCTAATTAAACCATCCTGCTTCTCCTTCCAGAACAAAGTATTACTTAGTCTATCTGTCAAATTGAATGCTCATTACTTGGTGCCACAATTAATTTTCCTTTGGGACATCCAAACAACACATAAAATGTAGAATTTGCTTGTAACATTTGAGCTTTGCCATTACACATCATGTGGCTGACTGGATGGCCTGAACAGCGTGTTATTACACTGCAGCCTAAGGCAAAGGCAACATGCAGAATGTTTACTACAAGAACCGTGACAATTTCTTTACAATGTAAGATAGAAAACATGCTGCGTAGGTAGGCAGGTACCTTACTCTTTCCAGTCCCTGCATTTCCAACGACAAACACAGAGTGACACACTGCCAGTAGCTCCTCCAGCTGAACAACCTACCACACAAAAGAGATACACAGTAAGCGCCTTTCCTCTCCTGCTGTCCTTCTTATTACAGGGACTCAATTATTCACAAAAATTATCTCCCCCTCCACATTCCTATTCCCTTTAATAGGAAAAAATGAACTTGCACCTTCCTGGCAGATTTGCCTCATCTGAGCTGATGTTGCATCAAGCAACATTGTTTGTCTCCCAGAAAATGAGAGGAGAATTGGCTTAAATTAATGAATACAGTTACCTCAACAAGCGTGAACAAATCCTATTCTGCGAGGCAGCCATAGAGTCCAGTTGGGTTGTGCCAACCCAGGGATACAGAACAGTTATCACAATTTTGCCATCACTTTAGCAGTGAATTCCACACTCAAAACAGTTGTGCAGCTGTAATTTGGTAAAATACAAGAATCAGTCCACTAAAGTAATACATTTCTTCCAAAGAAATAGTTTCATGAGCCATAGAATGAAAATAGCTTGGCTGCTCATGGATTTCTGCCTTAGCGAAGAGCATCCACACTGATTTTCTGAAGTCCAACATGAACAAGTCCATGTTCCTCAGTGCTCATCTTCCGATTCACCCAGTCAGCACGAATAAAAATACTCTATAGAAGGCTGATTGCAAAGTTCATAATACCCCAAGGTATAGCTTATTGTCTTTCACCCTTCTGTTGGGATAATGGAACAAGATAGACAAGGGCAGAAAATCCTTTATAAATCCTGAGATTGGTCACATTTAACCAGCTTGGTTATTCCAGTTTCCAATATACCCTAATAAAGGCAAGGAGTGTATCACATACAGCAGATGTGGATGTTCCTTGAACGAGGGTAGGAATACACTTTCTTAGTAGTCCAAATAGGCACACTTTTTATTTGATCTGTATACTGACCAGTGTTTCTAAGTTTCACCATTTCACCCTGTCTGTAATTCAAATTCAGTGTTTAAATTTAGCTTATAGACAACTAATGTTTATGAGTATACATGCATACATACATATACATGCATGTTTTTAATGTGTATAGCACAATGTGCATTATATTATACGGCAATACCAGAACACACAGAAGTCACCTGTAGTCATGCACATTCCAAATCCATGCCTTCTTATTTATATGTTTTTGCTCCCTTACTCTTCTTTCCTCCCTATAAATAATCACCAACAATTAATTTGCTACCGAGTACAAATGCTTGGTACTGTACACAAACAAACATGTTTGTCACTGTAGACAGCTTTTTTGAACAGGGTACGCATTTCCTTATGGGCATATTCATCATACTGAGGAGCATTACTGCCACGACAAAATGCCTTTGAAATACCGAGACATTGAGGACACCTTATCAATACTGTAACATACTCAAAAATAACCTTTATGTCTAACATAACCCATTTGCAATTATTTTGATTGAAACTCTTAAGGGGAGTAATTAAAGGCAATAAATTCTTTTACTTTGAGAATAAAGCTCTCTTCAGGCTGCAAGTGAAGCTCCAGGGTAGATTGTTTAACCATCTGTTCAAATTGCAGGTTCTTCTTCCTCGGAACATCCAGAGCTGGAAACAGGTCACTGATCAGGCCCATGAAAATTGGGATATCATCTGTCACTATTTTAGGCAAATTGAAGTCTCTTAAGGCTCACATAAGCACCTGGAAAAGGATAGTAAACTGCATATCACAAGAGCATTAAATCCTTCTCTTTTTAGGGTTCTGTTTTTATTCAAAGGCAAAACACCAGAAACAGCTCCTACTCTTAGATGCTTTTAAGTGAAGATTTTACCTGATCCTCAGGTCTGTTCTTGTCTCCTCATTTCAGAGAGCCAGCAACTGCTAAAACTGACTTGATAGCATGAAGTCCCCAGTCATAATGGTCCTGTGAAAACATTTGAACTAGTCGTGTTAGCATAGGAAATAAAACTAAATTGTAGTGTTTACGAAGAAAACAATTGGTTTATACACAGAGTAAAGTGACACCTTTTTATTCCCTTGTAGCCTTGCAGTAGCGTTAGGCCATTGTTGACAGTCTAGTAAAGAAAAAACTAAAAAGGGTGAAATGTGTATATCTATTTCATTTTTAGTATTCCACCACTTTGTTCCCTATTTTTAAATAGCAAAATTTGCACCATCAGGTATTATTGTATTCATTGCAACTATACCTCCATGATGAATCAAGGCAAGCAAAAAATTGCTGCCAAGCTTCTATTAATTTGACCTGATGTTAGCAATACTTTTCTGTTTCCAAAAGAGAAGATTGGACAGACTATCAACATATTTTGCAAGCAGCTCCAACACCAAAATGAAAGGCAAAGAGAAAAACATAGGTACTCAGCCTAGAGGAAAAGCCTAGAAACATTTGGTAAGTGAAGGGCAGACAAAAATCCTATATCCTTCCCTAAGCCCTGCCAGTGGGAAGGTGGATATTCACTGCAGAAGAGACAACTTTTTCCATCACACATAGGCTCTTCAATCCCTCTTTCTCCTTTTTCCAGGGCTGTGTAACACCCACCT